CTCTACATTGCATCTCCTTATATTCCTGTCTCACCTCTTCAATACTCTGTCACATTTCTTCTCAGCTAAACTCTTTCTTTGACTAGCTTCCTGCACTTCACTATTCCACCACCAGGTTTCCTTATCATCTATTCTCTGTCCAGATGACACACCAAGTACCGGTACCTTCCTACCTGTCTCTCTAATTACTGTTGCTGCTGTAGCCCAGTCATCTAGATGATCTTTCTTACCACCTAGTGCCTTTAACAGCTCCCCTCTGAATTTCTCACAACATTATTCCTTCTTCAGCTTTCACCGTTTGGTCTTCTTCTCTGATTAATTGTGATAAAGCACTGATTAGTCTTTGTACACAAATAGTAGTGCTATATGAATGGGTGAATGAGGGTACAGATTGCAGTGTAAAGCGCTTTGAGTGTCTTGATCAGATAGAAAAGCGCTATACAAGTGCAATCCATTTAACCCGGGCCTCGATCAATCCGGTATGATTTCGCTTTGATGAACTCGCATTATAGTTTTGGCAAAGTGTTTGCGTCGAATGCTCTTCCTGTCACAACCCTCACCATTTACCAGGGCTTGGGACCGGCACATGAGATACACTGGCTTGCGCTTCCTAGTGGCTGGTTTAATAAAAATATATGACTTACCGTATCAATTATGCAAGATTGCTTCATTACTGAGAAACAGGTGCATCTCAAATAATTAGAATATTGTGAAAAAGTTCAACTTTTACTTTTGTCAATCATTTCAAAAAGCAAAACTAATATGTTGATAAATTGCCTTTTTTGAGCAGCTGGTACAGACGTTTAATATTCACGTCACAGTTTTTTATATCTCTGCAACGGAAGAATTTTGTGAGGTTCAACTCTGATTGTTTTCCTTTGTACAGTAGTCCCTCACTACTTCACAATTCATTTATCGCGGATTTGTTATATCTCGGTTTTTCAATCAAGATTGGACATGACAATTGGCTGATTGATGGATGAGCAATGGGTTGTTTATTTAAAATAAATTATTTACAATTATTTTGCGCCATGCATGCAGCCCACAAGAGCAGGTGAAAGCTCTCTCCTTTAGCTGATTTCCTTCTCTGCCACGCACACATTTCTCCTGCTGCATCGGCTTTGCAAAGGGTTAACCCTTTGCTCTCCACATGAACCGGTCAACTTTTGTCTTCCAGCTTAAAATTCAAAGTATGTCACATCGTAAAATCGTCATAATCAAAAAAAAAAAAAAAAAAAAGTGTTAAAAGTTATTTTTCATGGTTTTAGAACTATGTTCAGTTGTTGGAAGTGTAATTAATCAAGAAGTACATTTCTGCTCCGTGCTGCAGAGCTGTGTGACATCCCTTTGATGTCCTGCTGCAATTCTCTTCTCAACAATTTAAATACTATATTTTAAATAAATCCATGCTGCATGGATTGTTTATTTAAAATATTACAGTATTTAAATTTAAATTGTTTATTTAAGGAGGGAGATTGGGAGCAACAGGTGATGAATGAGTGTGACTGCAGCCTGGCATGTCATGACAAAGTTTACTGTACTTAAACTGAACTTAAACTTGGACTACTGTATCCCTACTTCTCAGTTTTTCACTTCTCACGGGTGGGCGTGGTCCCCAAAACCCACAATAAACGAGGGACTATTGTACCCCTCTAAACATTTTGTGGTTAAGATTTTAGAATGCAGTTCTGATACTAAGGGCGCCCTCAGCAAGGTCTACTGTATACACTGCCCAGACCACGACTCATGAGACCAGTTTGGACTCTCAAACTTAAATAGAAAACTGACGTGGAGGAATCCATATCGGACTCAATCGGGCAAAAGATCATTCAGAATATTTATTCATCCTCAATTTGTCTGAGACATGCTGTGTAATTCAATTCAAGGTGGTGCACCGGTTGCACTGGTCCAAAGACAAGCTGTCCAAGATCAAAGCTGACCTGGACCCTGCATGCAATTGTTGTAAACAAACTCCAGCTACACTCTTGCATACATTCTGGACTTGTCCCAAACTGCAGACCTTTTGGCAATCTATTTTTGACACCTTCTCTGGGATATGTGGAAAAACTGTGCACCTATTACCACTCATTTCATTGTTTGGGGTGGTCCCTGTGGATATGTCCTTCAAAGTATGCGAAGGATGCAACTGCTGCCAAAAGCAGTTGCATCTCTTCTAGCCAGGAGGCTCATTTTGTGCAAATGGAAACCCTCCCCCCCACTCCCCCAGCATATGAACATTATATAAGAAGTCATGTATCATATACATCTGGAAAAAAATGGATATACCCTGAAAGGTTCTGCAAAAAAATTCTGGGACACCTGGCAGCCTTTCCTGTCCTCTAGACTCAATGAGACTAACATGTATAAATAAAGGTTGAAAACATGTCTGCCTAGGTTATTTGTGTATGTGCGACTGATCCGGTATGGGAGGGGAGGGATTTTGTTCCGTGGTCTGTTTTGTATGTGTTTGTGTTCAAAAAACAAACAAAACTTAATGAAAAGACTTCGTTTAGAAAAAGAAACTCATTATGCAGAGTAAAATATTTCAAGTCTTTATTTTGTGTAGTAAATTTGATGATTATGGCTTATAGGTAAAGAAAAAAAAAAAATAAATTAACATACCAATTGCCGTATGTCTTCAACTGAGTTTATTTATATAGCATCAATTCACAACAAAAACCATCTCAGGGCGCTGTACAAAAACATTCATGATATATAACAATACATTTTCAAATTGCCAATTAGTAAAAGTTATCCAAGGAAGCCAACAGATTGCGTCAAATCTTTTGCTGCAGTCTTATTCTGAGCTGAACATTGACGACAGTAGAAAAGAAAAATCTCCCTTTTAACAGAAAGAACTCACCCCCCACCCCCACCCCCACTACCATCAGAATTGGAGAAACATAATATGACTTTTATCTTGTAAAATATGAGTTCAAGTGTCTCTTAAGAGACAGAAACAAGTCAAAACCGAAGTACGAGTATAGTAGCGGTATTATAGGACCTGGCAGTCAGCGTTTCCAAGAGAAATTGATATAATTAAATGGGAATTTTGTGAATTCAGTTTCCTCAAATACAGGGAAACTAAAAGAATACTCTAACACAAATTTATTTTAACATTATCATCTTTTTATTGACTCTCTTCACAAACAAACATTTATAAAGCTCAAACCTTCACTGTACAGTTTGATATTAAAGTGACACGTTCGATTTTCACAAGAAAAAAAAAAAACATAAGTACAATAAATCATTTATGGACATAGTGTCCTAAACCACTTTGCAAATTTTCACAGTATCCTGCTAAATAAAAGTAAATATAATGTTAATTACATAAATATGTTTTGATGTTTCTTTTACAAAACAATCCCAAAAGTTTTTTTCTTTTTTTCTTTTGTTTACATCTTTTGGACCACTACAAAATTAAATATATGTTAGATGGGTAACTCAAGTAAGCAAACAAAGACAATTCATGAAACAGTTAAGGTTGGGGTGTTTGCTTAATGTTAACTTTTTTAACAGATTTTTTTTTTTCTCCACATATTTTGGTTCACTGAGTTTTGTGAGACATTAAGATCAAAACTACTGGTTTCCACTGACTACCTGTTTAGTGATGGGCATGAAACCTGATTAAAACCCGTTCACAGATTTATTCCACAACATTTATACTGCTGAAATTATTCAGGTTTCTGAAAGATTCTGAAAGACTGAGCATGCATCAGGATGTTTCTGAAAGATACTAAATTAAAGCGTCTCTTGCGTTTAGTTGGTTGTTTAATGAGTGAGTTAAAAGGATGAAAAATGACTTCAAGAAAGCAAAAAAAAGTGAAACTTCATGAAAAATTTAGATACACTTCAGCATTTATGTAATTAAAACAAATTATTTCTACTGAGGAGCATAAAAATGGCACACTATATGATCTATTTATTACATTTCATGTTTTTTTTTTTTTTTTAAGAGGTGACACAAACTGTGTGTGGATTACTGATTTATAATCATCATTAACGTTTCAAGCTCAGGTAAATGAATGTCAGCGGAGAAGAATGAATGAAAAAGAAGAATGAAATTGAATCTTAGAACTTTACATCCAAGGCAAAAATATAAAAATAAAAATATGTATGCATGTGGTTAAGAAAAATCCATCAACTGTTGCATACGTGGAACAATTATCAAAAAATAACACAAAAAGCAAATTAAGTGCACATGCAGTCCATTTAGAGGGCAAACTAACAAGGTGACACAAAGTGAAGCACATTCAGACAACAGTTCCACCTAAACTGCATATAAATACATTAACCGTCTGATGCTCTGAAGACTCCGCAACACTTAGAAATCATCCCTGAGCTACTCCAGCTTTTCGCTCAGAACATCATCCATGATCGCCTGTGACCAAAGTGCACACGTTACCAGCTGTGACTGTTCGTCAAACACACACTTATACATCCGTTCATCAGTCATTGTCGCCTTTTACAAGATTTTCTAAACAAATTTCAACCAAACTCCAAGATCAGCTGCCTTTAATTTATTTTAGTTTACATTAACTTTAGCAGTGCTTTGTTCTTGTTGTCCCTTTAGATTTAACTTGGAAATACTGATGTACTGATTAAAATTATCCCATTTTTAGTTTATTTTATTGCCTCAAGTATTTTGACCTTTAAATTTGATTATTAAAGCTATTTTTTTTCTTTAGGGTCTCAATGAGGCAGTTTTTCCTCACTAAAGGAGATTATTTTAATATTACCTGTGAAGGATGAGGACTTTAGCTCAGGACTTTTTGAAACATTTAGTTAATTTATCACAGCAAAGCAAACTTTAGCTCCTCTTGTCCATTAATTCCAGTCTTGATTCACTTTCCCATTTTATGTTCTATCTAATATTGCAGAGGTCTCCTTTTTAAAATGTGAAGACAGTTTTTGTGAATCTAAAACAGTGTAAAAACAAGCTAATTTGTAATGAAATCACTGAAAAAAAAAAAAAAAGGTATGATGGTGAAACTGGTGTCGTGCTTACTTCACTGAACAGATTTCAGCATTAATCAGAAAGAACTGAACCTTCGCTGAAGACAGAGGAGGGACAGGGACAGACATTCAGGCATACAGACAGGGACACTTAAAATATACCCCACTCAGATGTTGACATAAGTGCCACAAATTAAAATAATGAAAAGAAAAAGTACAGAACATTTTGAGCTGGACAATCACTCGTAATCACAACTCAACCCTCCAACAATTCAGTGCTAATTGGAGTTATGATTCACAGTTTGAAGTTTGGTTAAACTCCGTGTTTGACATGATTAATAGGTGACTTCAAGGCACTGGTTCAGTCTCAGAAACAGAGCAAATAAAAGTCTTTCACCTGGATGTAAAGTGTCTGTGTGCCGAACATGCGTCAACTTGCAGGGTCTTCACCGTCGAGCAGCAGGGAGGGAGGGAAGAAGCATCAGGAAGATGAGCAGCAGTCTAAAACCAAGAAGAGAGCTAAGATTACTTCCCTTTTTAATTTAGAAAATTGTTACTTTACATTAAGAAATTCTATTTTATTGTAGATTTGTAACAGGAAGCTTACGAATACAGTAGTAGTTCTTTGCTACTTGGCTGTTCGTTTATCACGGACTCACTTTGTCGCGGTTTTTCAAAATAAGATTGGACATGACACAAAACTGGCAGATTGATGGATGAGCTGCACGATCGACATGGAATTTTTATTTAAAATAAATTTTTAATTATTTAGCACCTGCTGCACATTTGTGCAGCCCACAGCTGCAGGACAAACTTCCTGCTGCAGCTGATCTCAGCTGGGCGGCTGTGGCTGAGTGGTTAGAGCAGTCGTCCTTCAATGCGAGAGTTGGGGGTTCGAATCCACCAGCAGCCACAGGTTGAAATGTCCCTGGGCAAGACACTGAACCCCTCATAGCCTCTGATGTGTGTCCCATCGGTGTATGAATGTGATAAAGCACTGATTAGTCTCTTTAGAATGATTTGTTCAATTAGCTTTGTAGAGATCTAGTATGTTGTATGAATAGGTAAATGAGAACAGATTGTAATGTAAAGCACTTTGAGTGTCTTGAAATAAGATAGAAATGCGCTATAAGTACAGTCCATTTACCATTTACCAAGCAGAGTGTAGAAGTGGGCATGGGCAAGAGCGCTTGCAGGTGGCTGAGAGCAGCGGAGGCAGGGAGTTAAAATTATGACATTCTGTGCTCTTTTAGCACGTTTAGAAACATTGTTTGGAATATTGCAAGAATGTGGGAAGGGGTAAAAAAAAAAAAAAAAAAAAAAAAATATATATATATATATATATATATAATATATATATATAAACTAAGTTTTACAACTATTCCTACTTTGCGGTTTGACTTATTGCGGGGCTTCAGGTTACGGATCATCCTCAATATACGAGGGACTACTGTATAGTCTTAATCCATTGTGCCATCTATTCCTGATGTTTGAGGTTTTGAACCAGAAAGTCGTCAAGTAGAATAAAAAAAAAAAAAGAAAAAAATGTATGAAGATGGGTGCAACAGTCTATAGAAACTAAATATTTAAAATAGTGTTTTTTTCTATGTGAAACATTCAGAAGGCTTCCTCTCTTCAGCGTAGCAGCTCAGCAGATGTGACAGCTCTGTAGTGCGCAGCAGCCTGTAAAGTTAAAACAACCGGCAGCAGAGGAATCGCTGTGTCACTGGAAGTTTGGGGGTACGCCACTTGAGGATGTCACATTTTATATCACACGCTGTCTTTATTCCACTTCCTGTCGTAGTATGGAAACATTCCTCCAGGAGCCAGACAGAGCATTCAGTGGTGCACTCATTCCTGCATCAGTTTGTCAAATCCAAACTCCAGGCCTCCCACTATCCAGTTTCAGTTTTATTTCTATTACTGCTGATAAAAAACTGCTGCAAGGATGGCCTACATTCCACCAAAGCACAAAGGTCAGGTTTTGAACATTTTTTAAATGACTTCTTAAACCCAGCAATGGATGAAATCTGTATCTTCACGTGAGGATGGTGAGGTCCCAGCGAGAAGTTATTTCCACGTAGGCATAAAATATAGTTCCTGATGATGCAATAACTGAAGACAAGTTGCATTTAATCTAAACAATAAAAATAATCAAATAGAGTAATACAGCTGAATGTTTTAATAAGGAATGCAAAAATTAAAAAGCACTAAAGCAGTTGTGAAGATTGTCAAAATGTGCAAATAAAGATCACAACGGAGAAATATTAATAATTTTTTCTGTTACAATGTTCGTATCATTACTCCAGCTCCACTGTCTCCTATATTCAGTAAGAAAAAAAGAGTCACAATTAAAACAGAGAATATGTATGAATTTTATTACCCTATGTTTTTAAAGCCATAATAGCTGTCAAAATATACAAATTTTCAACGTTTTACTTTTGAATTTTTGTGCTTCTAACACTGTTTATCCAAATAATTACCTTTTTCACACGTGAACGTTCACAGGAAGGTGAGCTCTTGCGTGCAGAGACTCAACGTAGACCAAGGCGCTCTGCAAGGAGGTGAGACAGTAGCCTTCCTCGCCTATCAAATAGCTGAAATGGAGTAGTAAGTTAAAATCAAGATCACTAAACAAGCGTAAACACCATCATTGTCACACTCTGATAGAAGTAGTTCCAAAGTTTTATAGACAGTTGTTCTCTTTGAGTGTCTGTGTGACTTTATGATCTTTTCTATCAGAGCTGAGCATTTTTAATCAGTTTTGTTTCTGATCACTGCAGCAGATTTTTCTTGTAGTGGGTGATGAGACAAAAGATTCTGTGCTGGAAAATTATTTCCATTCTCCTCTTTCAAATCTTTTCTCCACAAATAAGGGTGGGGAAATTGTTGACAGGAGGATTGATACTTGGATAGAGGAAGTGATGAGTCAGAGTTTTTGTTTCCAGAAATGACAGAGTGTGTGGGAGAGGAGAGCAGTGAAGCCAAGTTAACTCTGGCTGTGACCTCGGACTAATGAGGCCAAGACACGAGACCAACTGCAGCCAAGATGCTGCGATGAACACAAACATGGAGGACATGGAAAACAAATCAAACTCAACTGTGATTTGAAAACTGACAGTGAAATGTAGCTAATGTGTCACTTGTTTGGCAGAGAAACCAAAAGGTCATCATGTTCGAGTTCAATACAAACCCAGAACTACAGAACCCTAGCTGAGGGCACAAGTTATAGTTTACATCCCGATTTATACACATTTAAATAAAAGAACTTTGAGGTCAAGGTGACATTTACACCTAAAATATAATCTGACAACTAAAGAATAAGAATTTCAGAAAATGTGAAGGATAGATTCACAATCCAGACAGACAAGAAATTAAATAAAATGACTTATTAAAACTGTAACAAGTGTAACAAATATGGCACATTTTATGCCTGTCAACAAATTATTACACAGCAATCTATAGCAATAGCCAGGACAAGCAAAAACATTGTATACAATTTGACCTTGATTTGTGACCTTGAACTGGAGCTGGGGTGATGAAAATTACGTGACACCTTGTCTAGGGGTGGTAGAAATTTGTATGAAGTTTTGTTAAATCATCTTGAGCAGATCAGAAGTTATGGGCCAGATGAGAAAGTTTACGGACAAATAAGGAAAACAAGCAAAGTTGTGTTATTGATTTTTTTTTTTTTGGAAAAACCAATGATGTTTTTAAATTTATGATACTTATTTATTCCCTTTGTCTTTGTTAGTGCAACTGCCAAAAGTCCAAAATTTTTACATCAACTGGCAACACCAAAATGTCCATGGGTGTGAGTTCATATGTGCATGGTTGGCTGTCTGTGTAGCTGAATGAACACTAAAATCACAACGTTGTGTATATTTTAACAACACACAAAACAAAAATTACAAAAAAAATATTAGAAATATAAAATTTGTCATTCGTTGCTTGTACTTGTAAACTTTAAAGCTTTACTTCATCACTGGCTTTTATTATGAACAATATCCTGCTAGATTTCCACTCTTTGAACTTCCTTCTCATAGTTAAATCTGGTCCTCTGGAGATTCAAAAAACAAAATGAAGCAAAACAACAACAACAACAAAAAAAGACTTCCTCAGTCTGAGGTGCTGTATTCAGCTCAGTCTCTTAAATATCATCTTCTCAGAGTGGATCAACCAGTTTGCTGCTGACAACCAAAACCAGCTGCTCACATGGTCAAGAAGGACCATCAGCCTAACAATGGATCATTAGCACACTGATGGCTGTTTACTACTCACAGAGGGCTGAGTGATACTAGCAATAACAGCATTGTAAGAGGGAGACAGTTGAACCCGGAGGCCTCCACCCCTGTTTAATGATGGACGATTTCTTTTCACAAAGATGGCCTCCTTTACTCCTCTCTCAAACCATCGTTCCTCTCTATCCAGGATGTGAACATCTTCATCCCTGAAAAAGTGACCGCTGGCCTGGAGATGAGTGTAGACCACAGAGTCCTGGCCTGATGATGTTGATCTTCTTTGCTGGGCCATCCTTTTGGCCAGTGGCTGTTTAGTTTCCCCGATGTAAGACTGATCACAGCCCTCCTGACACTGAACAGCATACACAACATTACTCTGAGATGCATGTACAGGTGCTGGTCATAAAATTAGAATATAATGAAAAAAATGATTTATTTCAGTTATTCCATTCAAAAAGTGAAACTTGTAAATTATATTAATTCATTACACACGCACACGCACGCACGCACGCACGCACGCACACACACACACATTTCAAATGTTCATTTCTTTTAATGTTGATGATTATAACTGACAACTAATGAAAACCCCAAATTCATCAGTATCTCAGAAAATTAGAATATTGTGAAAAGGTTCAATACTGAAGACACCTAGTGCCCCACTCTAATCAGCTAATTAACTCAAAACACCTGCAAAGGCCTTTAAATGGTCTCTCAGTGTAGTTCTGTAGGCTACACAATCACTGGGGAAGACTGCTGATTTGACAGTTGTCCAAAAGACTACCATTGACACCTTGCGTAAGAACATTTTCCAGGACATCCTTGTAAAAGAGATTTATGATCTCAATGGATTCTTCATGGTAAAATAAAGGTATAAAAAAGGAGGGCAAGACACAAAAGGTCATTGCTAAAGAGGCTGGCTGTTCACACAGCTCTGTGTCCAAGCACATTAATACAGAGGCGAAGGGGAGGATAAGATGTGGTAGAAAAAGAAGTGTACAAGCAATAGGGATAACTGCACCCTGGAGAGGATGGTGAAACAAAACCCATTCCAAAATGTGGGGGAGATTCACAAAGAGTGGACTGCAGCTGAAGTCTGTGCTTCAAGAACCACCACGCACAGACGTATGCAAGACATGGGTTTCAGCTTTCACATTCCTTGTGTCAAGCCACTCGTGAACAAGAGACAGCATCAGAAGCGTCTCGCCTGGGCTAAAGACAAAAAGGACTGGACTGCTGCCGAGGGGTCCAAAGTTATGTTCTTTGATGAAAGTAAATTTTGCATTTCCTTTGGAAATCAAGGTCCCAGAGTCTGGAGGAAGAGAGGAGAGGCACAGAATCCACATTGCTTTAGATCCAGTGTCAAGTTTCCACAGTCAGTGATGGTTTGGGGTGTCATGTCATCTGCTGGTGTTGGTCCACTGTGTTTTCTGAGGTCCAAGGTCAATGCAGCTATCTACCAGGAAGTTTTAGAGCACTTCATGCTTCCTGCTGCTGACCAACTTTATGGAGATGCAGATTTCATTTTTCAACAGGTCTTGGCACCTGCTCGCAGTGCCAAAGCTACCAGTACCTGGCTTAAGGACCATTGTATCCCGGTTCTGAATTGGCCAGCAAACTCGCCTGACCTTAACCCCAAAGAAAATCTATGGGGTATTGTGAAGAGGAAGATGCGATATGCCAGACCCAACAATTCAGAAGAACTGAAGGCCACTATTAGAGCAACCTGGGCTCTCATAACACCTGAGCAGTGCCATAGACTGATCGACTCCACGCCACATTGCTGCAGTAATCCAGGCAAAAGGAGCCCCAACTAAGTATTGAGTGCTGTACATGCACATACTTCACATGTTCATACTTTTCAGTTGGTCAACATTTCTAATTTTTTTATTTTATTTATATATATTTTTTAATTGGTCTTAAGTGATATTCTAATTTTCTGAGATATTAAAATTTGGGGTTTTCATTAGTTGTCAATTATAATCATCAACATTAAAATAAATAAACATTTGAAATATATCAGTCTGTGTGTAATAATGAATATAATATACAAGTTTCACTTTTTGAATGGAATTACTGAAAGGACTCAACTTTTTCATGATATTCTAATTTTATGACCAGCACCTGTACATTTCTTAAAAAATATTGATGAAAATTAGGTTTGAAACAGCAAATGCTTTCATCTTTAAGTATCTGAGTGTTCGTGAACACAGTGGTGTTTGCATTTGTTTGTGGAGCTGAATCTTGCTAAAACAGCCTTGTTCATAGTAATTTAGGTTTAATTAAAAATATATATTGCACTTGTCTTAACAGATTAGTTTTATACTTAAAGTCAACAGAATCATATCTCCTTTTAACAGCCTGTCCTCAGTACCTACCGAGCCACTTCTGAATGTTCTCATTTTTCACAAATAAATGCAACAACGCTCCTTGTCCATACAGATGACTCACCCCTCGTGAATGAACTCCTCCAAAGCAGCACATTCAGACACCAACTGGGGACACTGACTCCGCAGAGCCACGAAGGACAGGATGGGCAACAGGTCATCTGCACCACTGTCACATGAAAGGAGGAAAAGAGGTGGTGAAAACAAACAAGGAACAGAAATAAACAGAGCAGAATGTAAAAAGAGGTAAGAGAAGTAAAAAAGAAAGTGGCATATACAGAGGATTTTAGCATGTGCTCTCTTGGGGAATGAATGGAAACTGCAACTTAATGGGTGCGTGTTTAGGGCTAGAAATTATAAAGCTATTTTCTTTCCCCAAGATCTGTTGGGAGGACAGCGTGTAGTCTGGGAGATGACAGTTTGATAGCTTTTTCTCTGTGTGCAGACAGCTCATTTGTTTATCGGGACTCACACGCAGGGCTAAGTGCTGATTTGCTAGATTGCGTGAGAAGCTAGGTTGACGGCCTTTAAATGACCTGGCTACAAGCAACTGGATACTCTTTTCCTTCAGATTCAGGAAGGTGTGGACAAGCTCATGCAACTGCCAAGAGCTGGACCACACATACCGGCACAATTACAACCCTGAATTATATTTGTCAGATTTCCCTTTAGTAAACATCCATCTACTCACACGACAACTTGAGTTTCTTGCATTCCAAAGACACAATGCACTCCAGTCCCAAGCATGAATACCAATTATATAGTTTAAATCAGTATGGACTCTGGGTTCACCCTCTTACAGAGTCTGATAGAGGAACAAACAAAAACTATAGAAACAGGGGAAATATTATGTAAGAAAAATGGGAAGAGACGGAAGCATAAAGACAAAGAAGCTCCAACTTTGTTAAACACAAAGATTTTATGTAAGTGTTTTTTAAAGACTTAAATCGTAATTAGTACAATAAACTGTAGTGTGAAAGGGTTGACCCAAAATAAAATAAAAACAGATCAACTGAATAAACAATTTGTATAAAAGTCATTTTACGTGCAGTATCTCTGTCAGCAGAACATTTCAAATAAATCCACCTTCAAATGCTGATGAGTCAGCAACAGAAAAAGACACCCATTTTTAAATAAACAAACTACAATAAGCAACCCACGTGTGGCCGAACAGATCTGCACTCTGGACAGAAAAACAAGTACAGGCATGTGGAAAAACAATGATTCACACAAATCGAATAAAATCTAGTTACCGACCTTAAAATTTAGATGGCCAAGTTTTTAAACTTCCTTTATGATCAAGAATTTTTGTGTTGTATTTAAGTAAATAATGTAAATGGAAAGATACAGATATTGTAAAGTAAAAAAAAAAAACAATTCTGCTTCCAACGTCAAAAGACAGTTTTTGATTATGCACACCCGCACACACATTTTAAGAATATTAATGTAAAAAATTCAGACAATGGTCAACTAATCAAGGATTTAAACACCTTTTGTTTGTTCCATGTTCAAAACTATATTTCTCTTTTTATTTCTTCAGATGGACAAGTTGTTTTAATGTGCTGAGAGCACATAGAGAAAAAAAATCTTTGTGTCACGCTTTTCCAAAAAGAAAATGTTCGAGCGCTGCACCAACGACCCAGTTCAACTCTTACTCAGCCAAGTATGATCGTTTCAGACACCAATAAAAAGAGACAGATATAGAACAGCAGACACCGCCTCAGGTTTTCTCACACACGCACATGCACAAATAAAACATTGGGAGATCTAACTAGAGAACAAACAATCGGTGTGCTTTACGAACAATGATAAATGAGGTAGCCTTTTGAAAATATTTAAAATATTAACATTTTGTAACCAAGGGTGCTTAAAAGTGTTGATATAATGAACAAGTTTCAATTCAAATTCAATTCAATTAAAAAATACTTTATTAATCCCAAAGGGAAATTAATTGTTGTTGTAACTCGTTATCCTCATTTCATTAAGAGATGTTATAGATACTGATGTCTGTAACTCATGCAACTCTTTTTTAAGTTTAAACAACCCAGTAAATGTTTATTCTAAAACAAAGACATAGGAATAGGTAATTTTACTTACTAGTGTGTCCAATAATTTTCAGTCTGATTTCAGAATATCAATATCAAAATATTATCACTTCAGTAAATTATAGGTGGAAGGTGACCTGGGTGATCATAACTATTATAAGTAGAGCACAGTTTGCTCTTTGGGATCTGGTTCAGTGATTATTATAAAGCCGGTGTTGTTTTAAAGTGCTTTATAAATAAAGTTGTATTTTATTGTATTGTATTGTATAATAAAATTAAGTGTTTAAAAACAACATCTATTTGTCAACATGAACTAAACTCTATTGTATGTTCGTGATTTTGGTGCTACAACCCACTGAGCTTTTGTCTGACTCTCAGATCATTGTCATGTATTCAACAAATATCAATTTCTTCTGTTCTCTTGAAAACTGCTTGTTGGGTCCTGGGTTTGTTCCAAACTCAGACAAACGACCCACTTTAGGGCCCGGCCAGTGAAAGCACACTGCAGGGGGGCAATAGACCTAGGACAGCCCCTGTTGTGCAAAGCCTGAGTGAGCACTGATGAGACCTGACAGGGCAGTTACCGGGGCACAAAGTTCTTAAATTATGTTGTAATTCCATTAGACTTTTGAAAGAGATTTCCCCCTCCAATATATGCACAAAGGAAATCAGGAAATTGATTATTTTGACGTTTAATGAGGGTACTGCTTGGGAAATAAGACAAAAACATCCTTAGTCTTTATAGACACCGTTTTCCTCAGTCAACAGTACCCGGTAATCCTTCATTAACAAAACTTGACATTTTCCAGCAGGGACATAATGCAGCAACAGATTTACTCACATGGCTGCAGTTTTGGGAGTAGATTCCACCTCTTGAAGACACCTGTACTCTTCTGCACAAGCACAGATCAGACGCAACGTTCGAACTGAAACAAACAAAACAAAAAATGAATGTAGAAGCATAAAATCGGTTGAATTATTTGTTTTTATAATTTTCTACATAGAAGGAAGCTATTCTGTTCAGTGACCCAAGATGACTCCTGTTGTGACTTGGCGTTGGTTAAATAAACTGAATTGAAAATCGAATTGGATCTATTTAAAAAGAGAGAAACCAACTTTAAACGAGGAGATCGTCTGATTTCAGCTTTCAAAAATCTATCATAGAGCTTTAGGCCTGACACACAGTCAGTTTGATTCCAATCAAGGCCTTCATTCATGTGACCAGAGTGTCCAATCTGTGAGTCAGGCTATCAAAGACCCTAACAAACCTCTACTGTGAGGAGAGTGAAGACAAACTGCAAGTGAATCCAGCTCACTGAACACCTCAACTTAAAACTAAACTCCACACTCTCCATTCTTTGAACTGAGAAAGCTCCTCGGATGAAAAGCAAAACATCTTCAGCTACAGAATAGAAGTCCAGCTGTTTTTGTTTTTAACATTTTTTGGAATTACAATCTTTCTGTAGTAATCAATGCTTCAATTCAGACAAAACAATGAATAATAGTTACATAGAGCAATACTAGGTACATGATATTGGTGCATGTATGTGATCGCTACATAAAGATTGTCACCCACACAGGAAAAGAATGTACAAGTCATTGAAACGGACATGTTAAATGTATAAGCATTGTGTTCTCTTTAAATGTCACCACCTGGAATCCATAGATCCTTCTCGGATCAATGTGCAGAAAACTTATTTGCAGCGCTTTTAAAAAAATATATATTGCTGATCAGCAGTTGCAAATGCCAGAATCTAGTTATTAGAAACAGACTGTTGTTGAAAAATGCATTTATAAACTAAACTGATGGTAACAAAAAAGGTTAAATCATGTCAACTAGATGTTTCTTTAAGAGAGAAACTGATGGTATTAAAATGCAAGTTTTCATGAACAACAGAAATAAACTATGAGAGATTTAAAACGTTGTGTATGTGGCTCCTCTATGGTTGTGGAAATTCAGAGTTAAAAAAAACAACAAACAAAAAAAGACAGCGTTAAAAACAGCCTTTACCACCTGCCCCGAACCAACTGGAAATACTTTATTTGAAAACATCCAACAGGAACTAAAGCTTCAGATTGTCTAGGAGATGTCCTTAGATGCTCAAACCAGAGTTTGGGAAATGGGTGAGGGAGGGAACATTGGCTGACTGGTAAAAAGAGCTTCACCTTGAAGCTCAGCTCCCTCTTCCCCACAAGACTGGAAACCTACAAACTCAAAAGGGTTGACTGCCTCTTAACATGAACCCTCATAAGAGTTATCCACACAGGTTTTGTACAACAGAAAAGCACATTCACAGTTTGAGTTTTCAATGAAGCATCACTAACCTATACATTCCAGTTTCCTTTGTGGACAGCAGTCTTTAAAGAGGAGCTTCAGTTCCAGAACAGCACACTCATAAGGGTAGGAACCTTGGAGAGCACCAGTGTCCTTAGGAAACAGTTTCTGGGGAACACCGACATCTCCTGGAGAGGCATCGCAAAACAACCTCATGCTTCTCTCAAATACTTGCTCCCTTTCCCTGTGGACTCTCCTGTCAAAGAAAGACAAACAGGCTGAAAAACGAGTTCAATACTATTGATTGCTAAAAAGAAAAATGTTTTTTTGCAACTAAGTTACAAAAAACAATAAAAAATATGTATCAAATTACAAGACTTACAGGGGATTTTACCCAAATGACAGTTCCAAAGTTTTCAGTTAGTGGATTATTTATTCCTACATGACTATTGTTTAATGAGGGGTATGAGTAAATGTATTTAGTTTTAATTACATTTTTCATTTGTACTTTAGTTTTTGATTAGTTCTTTTAGAAGAACTGTGAGTGAAACAATCCACATGACTGGAAAGCACAAAAGTTAAGATCACGACTTATTGCTGTTTAACGTGAATCTGACTCATGTGAAACAGGTGAGAGGGGAATTTTCACAAAATGTGAGAAGTCAGTTTAATAGCCTGCATAGCATCCATTCCTTTTGCTTGAAAAAAATTAAAAACTGTGCAACTCATGTCACTACCTTTCCTTGAAACTCAGATTTTAACTTCTTTCAGATGGAGAATTAGGGTCCGCTACCTGAAAAGAGCAATTAGGGCACTCCACAAAGGAATGAAGAAGGTTTCTTCTATGCTGGCAAGACACAAGTCCTTAAACCTGGCGGTGTTTAGACACTCAAAGGACAGCAAACAGAGTGAAAGAAGCTGATCTGAAACATCAAAAAATGAAGTAAAGCCCAGAAAGTTAATATCACTGAGCAGAAATGTTGTTAAAATCAAGTTATTCCACGTCTACACCCCATCAGTGTGCTCACCAATCGCTATGTGAATGTCCTTCACAATAGACTTCAGGTGTTCCTTGAGTGCCCTCATCTCCAGCTCGTCCATGTGGCTCTCATCCAGCTCCATCGAGGGATCACAGGTCAGCTCAGAATCCAAGGTGCTGTCATTTGTGCTGTTGTGAGGTGGAACCCAGTCCATCTGGGACAAGAACTGCTCCAGATCTTCAAAGGAGTTCTCCCGGTCTACGGTATCCTGTGTAGGAGGCTCTTCTGCATCTACATCCTCGTCATCAAAGTTGGTGTTGTGAAAGCGCAAGGGGGAAAGCGAAGCGTCGGTGCTGAAGCTCTGGCCGCCAAGACTACTGCCAGCTATCCTGATGGACTGGCTATGACAGTCTGGGTCAGTGTTTTCACAATTAATTTAATTAGAGTCAATCTTACCATCTCAGAATTAAGAAAAATACAATTTAATAAATGACCAAAATTGTTGCACATCATGTTGTACACCTTGTAATTTTTATTGATCTCTGAAGCAACAGTTGCTTTTTCTAAGATTTTTTTTCTTTTAATTTAACGAGTTCTCTTCAAATCACAAACATTTTTATTCATGTATTGATTGATAAATCAATTTTCTCTTCACAGTAACTACAATAACAAATTAGTGCTGATTTTATATAAAACTTTGTTTTTAAGCTCCTAAACTGGCTTCCTCAGTAATTAAAACAAGCTGAGGAAAGAAAAAGATAATCTTCCATTTTATTTCCTTTCAACCCACTCCCACAAACAAACGCTTCTAGTTTTACCTGGATGAAGCAGGCTGTGAACGCTGTGTGAAGATCTCAGGGACAAGTCAGGACTCTCAGGAAGACTTTTACTAACAATGGGGTAAAGCTTGTTGTAAATTCTGTACTGGTGTTTCCTGAGCAGCTTCACCACTGGATGGTCAGACCGGCTGAAAACACAAACCAAATACTAGTTAATCTTCAGTGCCTCTATACATTTAGTGTAATGACTAATTATAAAGCAGACGAAACACAAGGTGATAATTATTCAGTTCAGGAGACTATTTTTTGTATTTGAACTTAAATCTTTTTATTATTTACCTTTATTTAATGGCTCACTAATTTGAAGTAAAAGTTACTGATACAAATGACATATTATATTAAACTTACCAGAATCTATGTTTGAAAATTTAACTTTCAGAGGAATCTACAGTTCATACATTATATTTGTAAAATTACTCTAAATAAGTAGAATAGAAAAGACAAGTGAGGCTCTGTTCATTTCATATACAATTACAGTATTTTCTTTCCGCTGGTTGTGCTTTGTTGCAGAAGTCACCACAGCAAGTGAACTCACACAAAATATCTGAAGTTTTTCTCCCAGAATTACAAGACAGCCATCTAATGTGCACCCATTTTTTATATATTTATAAACGACAGATGTAAATGTGCCATATTTAGCAGGTTTAAACTGGTTCAACGATAGTTGAAATTTCAGTAAATCCCAATTTAGCCACAAAATGTTGATCTTGTTACAACTAGAGATGACAAACAGCATGAATGAAACCGATTCCAGTCAGAGATAACATTGGTTTATCCTCAGTTACTGATAATATTCATCATCTTTTGTGTAAACAAATCATGGATTCAAGACTTGGTCAAAATCTAGAGTACCTGTTACATAGCAGTGTTTAGAAAATATCAAACAGAAGTTTCATAGCAGACATTTTGACTTGCTCAAACAAAAACATTTAAGTGCCTGAAAGCTCAACACAAAGTCCAAAACCAGCCTTCCAACCCAAACCTCAAAATACAGAAAGCACACAAAATCTTGTGACTGAACCATCTGTGACTTTCCTTTCCTTTCTGAAGGGTCTGAGTCCGATTTGGCAAGTACCGGTATTATTTCACAGGTAAAACTAAAGCCAATGATGGATGTTATCTTAAACCGTCACACTGTCATCAATTACCTGAGCAGATAAGAGACCAAATCTGACACTAAAGTGATGTCAGAATTCTTCTTTATGTTGGCTTTCCACTGCTTGGGCCAATCCTAAAAGCACAAAAAAGAAGCAGTTAGAATCATAACCAATTTATTTAAAACTATATGATTTGATAAGTGTGGAGAAGAACAGTTTTAGAAAATCCCACACAGTAGTAAGTAAGTCAAAAAGGTTAAATCTGGTACAGTCTTAAAATCTGTTAAATACAATTCAAATATGACATATTGACCCTATATATATTAAATGATGTGCACCGATTGTTTTATTGTATAAAATGTTCATCAGATTTTTTAATATAAACCTATATATATATATATATATATATATAAAACTACAGTCACTCCTCCAAATCTCGTAT